CCCCCCCCCCGACGTCCCGAATATCAAGATCGCACGTTGCGCGGTTAAGATTTGTGGCGTAACTGTTGACGCACGAACGGACTGACGGACGGACATTCATCTGTTCATGCGATTCTACAAGCTGCATCTGACTTCGTCAGCTGAGCTAAAAGTAAAAACATGTATAATAAAAATATAATAATACACACACACACACACACACCTCCTCCCCGACGTATCTCCTGGGTGTGCCACGCCCGCACGCACACACACAGACACACCTCCTCCCACCCACACCTCCTCCCGCACACACACACACGTACCTCCACCGGCTTATGCAGCTTCTCCTCAATCAGCAGCTCCTTTGCGAGCGTGTCCACCGGCTTTGCCCCGCCGAATATCGACTGCTGCGCCTTCGTCGAGGCGACAGCCTCCTCATCCTTCGGGGCCGACCTCGGCTTCAGCACCATCTTCGGCCGTTCGTGACCGGTGTCGTCGTCCCGTCCTCTGTAGTCGCGGCGACCGCCTGTAACCACGACGACGACGAAACAAACGCTGACGAGGAGTTATATGCTGGTGTAGCTCGAGATACGATGCCTACTGCGATACTTTTAAGAGAGACTACCTAGCAAACTATACAGTGTATACACTCAACCGCGATTCTACCAAACATGTGAACGCTTAGAAATCTGTATCGTGGAGTGCTTGGTAAACAACGACTACTGAACTGCGAATTGTCTCGCATTTCTTTTGTTATCTGAGTAACCTATGCTTCTCAATGCTATGGATTTCATTCAGTAGATGATCGATACGCATATCGTGAATGGCCAAATATATCGATACATGTATCGTTAAGGTTTGCCTCGCGATATATCGATAAATCGATCCCAACGCTGACACGCTCGCTTAACACGCGCTCACTATCGCAATATGCTCACAAATGATCTCTCGAGTGAGCCGACGTAAACCGATTCCGAGCGAAAATTCGACAGGCAGCAAAACGCGGACGTCCGACAATTTTGCGACAAGCGAAAAATAAAAACCCCACTCAGTCCTGGTCGTCTCACGCTACACGCCTCGAAATACGGCGGTTTTCTTCAGACGACTCGCATCAACACGAAGAAAATTCTTTGACAAACAAACACTAACATCTGGCATGCGCTTGCATTGCACATGACGAGTACAGTATGTGCGCAGGTGTGCGCGCGAGGCGGCATGGGGAAGCAACTTCGACAGGTATGCGATCAGACCGCGCAACCGATTAGAGAAGCTAAATAAAGAATAGATGAGCGAATGCCGACCATCAACTGTGAGTAACGCCTGCCTCCTTAAGGAATTGCACATTAAGGATTAGTTAATTGCGAGCTGTAGGTCGTTAGTCGCTTTATCTGCTAGCGTGTGCGCGGGTGGAAAGCACGACTCACCGCCTCTGTCGTCGTAGCCGCCGCTGCGGTCTCCGTATCTTCCGCCGCCACCTCCCCTGTCGTCTCCGTATCTGCCGCCGCCGCCGCCGCCGAAGCCGCCATCGCGTCGTCCGTACCCACCGTCCCTGCCTCCGTCGTCCCTGCTCCTGTACCCTCCTCCGTCTCTGCCTCCGAATCCTCCGTCTCTGCCTCCTCCGTAACCGCCGTCTCTTCCTCCTCCGTAACCGCCGTCTCTTCCTCCTCCGTAACCGCCGTCTCTACCTCCTCCGAAACCACCATCTCGGCCTCCTCCGAAACCCCCGTCTCTGCCTCCGTCCCTGCCTCCATCCCTGCCTCCGTAACTGCCAAATCCTCCATCTCTGCCTCCATCTCGACCCCCGAACCCGCGGTCGGAGCCTCTGTCGCCTGAAAATGGGAAAAGCGAAAACGTAACGCACGACTGACATGTGAAAATCTCTCCCAGCAATCTCTGCATTCTCTGCAAATTCATGCGATCCCTGAAAATTCTCTGCAGACACCGAAAATCTGCGACACGACATAGGAGACAGATCTGATTAGATTTAGACCCTGTTAATAATAGAACAGAAGTTTCAGTATATCTTCTGATGTAAAAACTGTATGTCCACTTAGTGTTCCGTCCGACACATGACTTTATGTGTGGTTCTCCTAGTTCAAACAATTATTGAGTGATTGTTTTCAAGTTGCAATTTAAATACATGTTATATAATGTTTATATTGTTAGATATATTTCTAAAATCTGACATGAACAACTGTAAAAAATGCTTAAATAACCCATCAAAATGTCCCGTCCGACACGTATGGAATCGCACAGAAGAATAAATGGGGGAATGCAGTTTGCACACTAGGGAAAGTTGAGCGGGGGTTGTGCACCCCGTAGGTATAGCGGGTCTACATTTCACACGAAATTGTGATTCAACTCGGGAATTTTTCCTACGCGAAACAAGACGCGAGACGAAACACGACATGAGCTAAAAGAACCAAGAATCCAAACTCCAGAACTTGAAGCAAGGATTTCAACAACAAAACACGATTTCCACTGCGTTCACTACACAGAGTCAGATGCGGCAGCATCACAGCAGACTCCACCGCACGCGTCTCTCACCGTATCCTCCTCGGTTGAGGCTCTCCTGCGGCGTCGGAGCCGCCCTCCAGTCTCCCTCCGTCTTGTCCTCCCCGTTGTCGTCATAGCGACCGCCTCCGAAGCCACGGTCGTTGTCGCGCTCTTGGGTTCCCGCGATGTCCACGCGAATCTTCCTGTTCATGAGCGTCTGCGCGAAAAAAAAGCGGCGACACGCCGGCATTGACACCGTCGATTCCGCAAGAGACACGAGACAATGTTTCCGTTAAAATCAACGGCCGAATAACTTAACGAACATCCGACGAATCGAGGGGAATTAACCAAGGTAATGGCTGTCGAGAAATCAAAGAGTCTCCTTCGTTACATAAATATTCTGATTAAAGTCCAAGGCAAAAGTAAGAGTACGAAGTTTAATAAGGTCCACGTCCACGTAGTAATAATGCCCATCGTGCTTCGTATCCAAGGCGAACTAGTGGGAACTAACTGACCATGGGAGCGGCTGTCGATAGAGAGAGATAGAGATCGAGAGATTTATACAGCATTCCCTTTCGTTACCTCGTCGTTCATGTTGATGGCCTGCACCAGAGAATCACGATCTTCAAACTCTGCGTAGCCGAAGCCCTTCAGGCGACCGCTGTCTCCTCCCTCGCGCGGCAGCCTAACCGACGTCACCTGCACGATACATCGCTCGTTAGATAAAGGTGACGGTAAAATGATAATCACACATGTGTACACAGATACAGACACGTGGGTCCCGCGAAACATCGCTCGTTAGATAACCGCACAAGGTAGAATCGCATGCACGCACGCACGCACGCGCACGCGCACGCACGCACACGCACACACGCGCACGCACACACA